CGAACTGAATGCTGGCCCATGAGGGTGTCATCTGCACACCCAGCCTGATTCAGAGTTATTCTGTTTAACTGTGTGCTTGTGTCTGACTGTGGTTATTGTTGCTCTCATGAACTGATTCTTGGCATATGAGGGTGTCAGCCCGTCCATGCTGATCAACCCGGCCAGGTCAGGCGTGTCACATTAATCTGTGTGTGTTTGTGGGTATGACTGATTTGGGGACTGGAGGAACCCAGCCTCACTGAACTGAGTCCTGCAAGATAGGTACATTAGGGGTGAGGGCTTGCAGGGGGAGAGATACAGCTCCGTATAGAAACACCAGTAATACAAGCAGCACATAAATAGAATTACCAGGACCCTAGCCTTAATAAATGAGCACACCCCAAAGTAGCGGGCAAATCTGGTAACAGTGCCCTTGTTCTGAAAAAGGCTAACAGCATACTAGGCTGCATTAGTAGAAGTGCTGCCAGCAGATCAAGAGAAGTGTTTCTTCCCCTCTATTTGGCAATGGTGAGGCCATATTTGGAGTACTGTGTCCAGTTTTGGGTCCCCCACTACAGAAAGGATGTGGATAAATTTGAGAGATTCCAGCAGAGGGCTTCAAAAATGATTAGAGGGCTAAAGAACATGACCTCTGAGGAGAAGCTGAGGGAACTCGTCTTATTTAGTCTGGAGAAGAAAAGACTGAGTGGGGATTTAATAGCAACCTTCAACTACTTGAAGTATAGTTTCAGTGAGAATGGAGCTAGACTGTTCTCAGCGGTGGCAAATAACAGAGCAAGGAGCAGTGATCTCAAGTTGCAGCAAGACAAATTTAAGTTCAATATTAGGAAAAACTCTCTCACTAGGAGGGTAGTAAAGCACTGGAACAGGTTACCTAGAGAGGTTGTGGAATCTTTATCCTTGGAGGTTTTTAAAGACCTGGATAGACATAGTTTTGGTTAGGATGATCTAGCTGGGGATGGTCCTACTTTGAGCAGGGGGTTAGACTAGATGACCTCCTTAGGTCCCTTCCAACCCTAAATTTTCTACGATTCTATGGCAAAGGTTGGTATTAGGAAGAGCCACAAGTTTGTCAGACTGCTGGTTACTGGTAGGTCTGGTCTGGTCTGCCAATAAACTGTAGATATAATTTATTAAATGGAAGGAGACCACATGATTTTGGGGTGTAAGCAACATGGACAGGAGGGAATTTCAGAGAGAATACAATGAGTGAGCCAGACGAGAAGTGATCATGTGGCAATGAATTTTCCTTCTGCTGAAATAACAGCCTGAGGCTTGCCAACTAGTTCAAATATACATGTCCACATGCAGTTTGGAAGCAGGCCAGGCTTCAAGCTAATCAAAGAAGTTGAAAGACTGACTGGTCCACTCTGAGGGGCTCCTATACACATGCATGGATCCTGTTCTGATTTTCTGTAAATCCAGCACATTGGAACAAACTTGATTAATCAAGTCTGCTGTAGCACAGAAAGTGATACACTCCAGCATCCTTCTGCATCACCTGTATTAGCATCCCCATGCATCTCTGTGCTGAAAAAAATGGCAGTGGGGACACTTTGAAATAAAATATGTTTGATAAGTTGTATTTCAAAGCACTCCACCTCAATTTTTTGTGTGGGGATGCTGATATCCGTGATGCGTGGGAGCATTTAATTAGTGCAGCTTGCTAATTAAAAGTGCCTGGTGCCATGACCCACAACACATGTAAAAATGTCCTGAGAGCTTAAGGGTGGAGTTACACTATAGCCTTTGGCTACCTTTACATTAAAAGTATGTGACATTATTAAAAAAGAAGGTTTTTAAAAAACTTCTTAGAGAAACAATTGGGCATTTCAACTATTACTTGTGTAACAGTTATCTCTAAAGTTTCTGTCGCAGAGCACTTGAGTGCTCTGCTCCTGAAGACAGAAATGGCTCAAGAGAGACCCCTAGAAGTGAGAAGGTGGAGGTGCAGCTGCCATTCACCAGGGCACCACAGGTGCTGCTTGCTGGGGCAACCAGCGAAACCTGCTGACAGGAAGGGGCAGGGCTTAGGGCTTCTTAAGCCCAGACAGGAGGCCAGGAGGGCAGTTCCCCTCTGGCAGCCAAGGAGGGGGGAGCTCTGCCAGTGTGGAGAGAGGGGAGAAGATTGACCGCATGAGCATCCCTGGTTGCTGCCATGGGTTGGAATATTTTTCCCAGTAGGGATCGAACGTTGTTTTGACCGGACGGTTTAGTTTTACATTATAGCCCAGGGGCTTTGTGGGTTTTTTGTGTTTACTGTTTGACTGGAGGACTGGGTGAGGCTATTAGGGGTTGGAGGAGGCCTTATAGGAAATCCATGGTAGCATGGGGGTCCTGGCACCAGAGAAGGTGCAGCATTTTGGGGTGCATTGGCCCCAGCCCTGAGCAAAAAGGAGGGCAGCGAGGAGCCCCGAGCAAAAAGGGGGGCAGTGAGGAGCCCCAGGGAGGTAAAGGAGAGGGCCAAATCACAGCAGGGCCCAGGTCAAAATCCTGTCAGTACCATCTGCGAGGCTTGGGCTGCGGTGTAGGGGAGGAAAAGGAGCCGCAGATAGCGCCCCCTGGCACCGGGGTGTATAAAGTGGGCAGCCTCCCACTAATTACATCACTCAATCAATTAAGATCAAGGCAGGTGAGTAAGCAGGCAGCCAGCCCATAACAGGAGGGCGGAGTCACCACTAGAAAGACTCCAGTAGCGATACTCCTGTCACAGTCTCTTATTGGTAATAAATTCCTCGTTAGACATTATACAATGACAGAATAAACTTAGAATTCACCTCAGTTATGTGGCAAATATCAAAGAAAAATGTACGTACCTTTATTCCTCTTTTCACATGTCACATAATATCCATGTATAGGCCCAGCTGTGTTGTTTGGAGGTTCACGCCAGGTAATTGATACATTATTAGAAGTTTTTGTTTCAGTCACATTTTCAGGTGGCTCTGGAACTGTTACAGAAAATTAGAGAACTAAGAATAAAACTTCTTTGATGTAGAAAATACTTCTAAAAATGATAAAGAAACAACAGCTAAGGACACTTAAAAAAATAAGTGTTTCAATTTTGAAAGCATTGAATGGAATTCCAATTTTATTGGATAGAAGTATAAGGGATTGACAGAATGTGCACAAAGTATTGATCTCCGATCCATTTTATACAAATACAAGACACCAATTCATGGAATTCTGTGAAGAAATTGCATAGTTCAACACAAAAAGCAATTGGAGGTTAGAAACTAAGGCCATGTACAGGTGAAACAATGGGCATGTGTGCACGACACTTTAAAGCAAGCTAAATGCTTTTGCACTACTTTAATGGTGTTAGTGTTTGCCTGCCTTGGTGGCGTATTGCACATTCCAGCTGCTGTAGGAAATTCAGCAGTGTAATGCGCCTTAAATGACTTGGGGCACAGCAAACTAAAACACGTCTGAGGAGTTTTAGTTTGCAGCCTCTACAGCCGTAGAGTGAAGCAGTGGGCTCCCTGCAGCTCAAAGGCTCTGCAGGAAACCCTGCAATACCCCACAAAGGCAGGCTCCAGCCAAGAAAAGTGGCTGATCTCCACCCCCATGCCCCAAAGCCTGCCTGCCTGAGCTGCATGGGGCCTCAGTGCTTCCCACCACAACTGCTGTGCCCCTGAGACCACCCAAGTGCTAGTGGCATCTGTGGAAGCTCCTTGCTCACTGTTGCCAGGCTCCTGCTGCCACCATGCCCCACCACCGCCGTGCCCCCACCAGCCGCCGGGGATACGGGTTGTTCATATCAGTGTGTGCACAACATGGGGGTTTAAAGGGCCCTACATTGAAGCGGTGTTTTTAAAAACACTTCAATTTAGGGCCCCCATTTCGTCTACACATGCCCTAAGCCTTTATTTTAGAATGATCACTGTAGCAATGAAAAGAGTGAGAGACAGAAATAACTGAAGCAGTAGTCTGTATAAGTTCCATAGGTTTCTATTGCAATTCAAGGTTCTGGTTTTGGCCAATAAGGCCCTAAATAGGCTGTCCCTGTATACTCAGGAGACCACCTCTTTCTTTATGTTCCAGCACAATATCTAAGTCAACTGAGAACAAACTCCTGCATGTATCATCTCTGCACCAAGTTTGTTGGGTGATAACTAGGGACCTACTAAATTAGCACCAGAAGTGAATGTGTGGCAGCTCCTTTAATCTTGCAATTTCCTCCACGCATCCCCAAGGAAGGGGCCCCACTGTTTGGCACTCAATCCAGATAGGCAGGGAGGCAAAAATGATAGATTTAAATATGGTGTGGTTTTTGCTTCCTGTTGCTGATTGGCCAAGGAGCCAAGTAGAGTTGAGTAGAGCAGGAGAATCACTTCTTTGCAATGGTTTTGCTGGAAATGCATCAATTGATACATGCCAGGGTATTGTTGGCCCTGCTGGCTACAGCATTGCACTGACAGCTCATGTTCATACTGTGGTCAATTATTACTCCCAGGTCTATGGTTGCAAGTGATGGGGGATCTTCAGTCCTGCTGCCGCATGAGAGGCAGCAGTTGCACAACCACCCATGTCATGAATTTTGCCTGTCAGCAGCTAGAGGTGCAGGGCCCCAGAACCCCTGCACCTATCTCCTTGAAAGCTGGCAGGCTTTGTGGCCTCAGCACAGGCTGGCTCCATGCCCCCTGTGCAACTTCCTGCACTCCAGCAGAAAGCTGCCCAGGAGGCATGGAGCCCACCTGCCCTAAAGATGCGTAGCTTCCTCCTGCAGTGGCACGATCTGCACGATGCTGGGACAGAGCTGTCCCAGTGTGGTCTGAAGGCACATGACAGTGGGCCAGGCTGACTCCATGCCAGCACACGCAGGCCTGAGGTCTCAGTCAGAGACTCTTCCTGATACACCCATGAGCACCCCAAGTCTGTCCCATAGCAGATCATATGGTCACTTCAGCATGCCCAGGTATTTAGGGAGAATAAGTGCATTCTCATGAGTAAGACAATTTCATGAAGCCTTGACTTTTTATAAATTTGTTCTACAAACATTTGCCTAATACTGAGCTGTGGCCACCATTTTCTAAACACAGTTCCATAACCACAAATACCACACCCTCTATGAGAGTAGGAAACTCCTGGAGACAGAGACAGAGTACTTCATCCTAAACCAAAAGGTGTGGATATTCATTGAATGGGAAGGACACTAAAATAATACCTGTTCAATGCCTCATGTGTTTTGTTGATAGAGATCTGCATTGGCCAATGAAAATTAAATGCCCACATCACCCTGGGATACTTTCCATCACAACCCCTTCTGTTCTAAGAAAACTTAATCTGACACGGGGTCGCCGGAAAACAAATTTTTTTCCCTCAAATTAATGAAAGCATTGTTATGTTCAGTGACTGTACCAAATGGGCTTCCCCAAGTGGTGGCAACTGTATACATGGGATGACCATATGTCCCAATTTGGCAAGGACAGTCCCAGATTTTGAAGGCTGGTCCCAACCAGGCAGTGAAAATCAAAACAAGTGGAGCTGTGAAATAGGAGGCCCTGGCAGACACCTAAATTGCTCTAAAATAGGTTATGTTGATTAGTGGAATGACCATTAAAAAGCAGAGGTAATCATTAATACATGTGAAGTAAAGAACAATGGGTCTTTAACAGGCCATTGACTCCCTTAGCTGCCTGAATAGTAATATCAGAGCTTCACTATGCTGCCTCAGCCCTGCTTTTGTCTGCAGTAGCACTGCAGACCTGCAAGGTGGGGGGCAATGTCTTGGATTTCACATTGTCAAATATGGTCACTCTTGTATAAAAGGATTACACTATCTCTTTCTTAAAGCTGGACTCTACAATGAAAGCAAAGAGCTGTTTATTTTGGAGAAGTTGAAAAATGAAGGCAAGCAGGATAGAAGGAACTACTGGCCATACATGCTTATCCTTACCTGGGTGACTATTCTGGTTGAAACCAGAGACATTAGGTTGTGATCTCTAAGGGTATGGTTACACTGAAAGATATCCAAGTATTCACACTCCTATTCTTGCCCCCATTATCAACATTTAATGCATGTATGCCATCATGACTTGGGAGGAAACATGGACCAAACTTGCAGAATCTATTCAGGTTCCAGGTATGTACTGTATCACCTGCTACTTGCCTCCTACACAAACAATTTGCAATGCAACTACCACCTATTTGTGAGTTATGAGACTCAAATGCAGGCAGTCTTCCACTGGCATTCCCACAGTTCCCTGTTCCTGCATCTTTTGCATAACTCCCTGTTTCATTTTCTATACCCCAAAAGTTGGATGGCATGTTGGGTGCTGTTACAGGTTACCTTTGTAATGTTTAAGTCTGTGGAATGTTATGCCATCATAAAGTTAGACCAGTTTCAGAGCAGTCATAGGCTAAGGCTTAATCCCATCTCAGACCTGTACAACTGTGATTTACCACTACAGGGCTGACAAGCAGAGACATGGACAAGAATCAGAACTCTACTGCTCCTCCAGTGTGGAGGTGGGGGTGGCATGTAGCTTAGAGGCAGAGCAGAGGGAGAATAGAGATTCAGCAAGGGAAATGATTTTTCTTTGATTGATTTAGTGCTGGTTAAAGGTGCCATATAGAATGAAGTCCTGAATTTATCCACACAGTAGGAACAGTGTAGGCAGAAAGAGGGCAAACTCCACCCACGTGCCTTAGCCATGGCCTGGAAGGAATGAAAGAAGTCTCCATGCCAGCTTTCCATCCTTAATATTGTTGCTGTGGTGACAGGGCCCAAACCAGCAAGAAACAATATTGTCTAGCTCATGCTCTGTACCATCAGTCATGAGAGCTGAGTTCCGGTCCCAGTTCTCCTGCTAGCTTGCTCTGTGGTGTTGAAGAGCTGGCAGAGAGGCTTTGTAATGTGCAAGACCAGCTGGAGCTTTCATTGCAAAATATTTCAGAATACATAGATGACAGATTCCACAAAAGAGCTAAGCCTGACCTCAGTTGGTACTTGCTCTCTATCTGGGCTATCCTTGCTGTCTATCTGGGCAGCACCTGGCCATGCCTTCCCAGAAGCTGTTTGTCTCTATCCCTGTACCTCCAGTGAACTAGGTGCATTTAAATACCCTTGACAAGGTGCTACCCGAAGTATCCCTCAATAGACTCAAGGCACACCCCTTGACAGATTTAAGGCACCCATCAGTAAATGCCACCTCTTAGTTTTCACTCATTTTTTACAGTATAGAAAAATAATAGAGCAATTCTTCTGTTGTGAAGAATGCAGAAAGACCCCAACAGGGTAGAATGTTTTTAAAATTATGGATTCTTATTTGAAATCCCCGGTATTATTTTGCGAATCATATTTATAAATTTAACAATTCATGCAGGCAGCTCTACTCTCAGTACAGAGCTGCCACATCAGTTTCAACCATATCAGAGAGCCCAAACAGCTCAGCTGCCTGGCAATAATACCACACAGCTAGGGGAAACATATTTCCCCAGGCTACCTGGTCTCACTGAAATTAATGTTGTGGCTTCATGCTGAGAGCAGAGCTTCTAGGGATTAAGCCCCAGCAGCTCCACTCTAAGTGTGGAGTTGCACAGCTCTGCAAGACCAGGGAGCCCAAAAAGTTCTTTCCTAAGATGGCTGCAATTATGGTTGTGGCTCTGCACTGAGAATGCAGTTGTTTGGGGGTTAATCCCCATTGGCTTCGCTTTCTGCATGGAGCTGCAGCATTAACTGTGGCAAGACCAAGGAGCTGGGAAAGTGTTCTACCCTGGGTTCCCTGGTCTCATTGAAATTAAGGCACACTGAATGCAGCTGACCTGCCCAGCAGTGAGATCATATGCCTAGGGAAAACCTGATTCCCTCAGACACATGGGACACTTCTACATATTCTCCAGAGGTTGGGGGTGGATACTCTAATTAAAGCACTGCAGCGTCTCATGTACCAGCATTCCTGCATTTCCAAATGGTGGCAGGACATTTCAATTAAAGTTCAGTCAACAAGCTTTAGTTCACAGCCATTTTGAAGTGCAGGGATGCTGATACATGAAATGTAGGAGGCTGCTAGAGCACTCTAAGTATCACACTCCAGCAGACTTGATTAATTGAGTCTGCTATGATGTGCTGTAATTACAGCACATCGGAGCAGCCTCTGCACTTGTGTACAGGTACCAGCGGTCTCCATTTATTTGAGCTCCAGTGGCTCCATACTAAGCATAGAGCTGCCAAACAGCAAGACAACGAAGCTGAGAGAAGCTTGCTTCCTCTGGCTGCATAGTCTCCATTGAATAAGTCCTAACGTCTCCATACTGAGCTACCAATCAGAAAAACCATGTAGCTACGGGAGGCATGCTTCCCTCATCTCCATGGTCGATCTACAATTAACCCACTCAGAGTGGCTGCTCTCAGGGCACACCTACACATTGCCCTACAGTGATGTTTTTACTGTGCCATGCTTTAGCATTTCCAAAAGGAAGTACTAAAGCATGGTGCAGTAACCACCTGTACTGTGTTGTATGCATGACAGTTATTTTTAGAAGCTACTTCACCATAGTTGTATGCTATAATGGGGGAGTGTGCTGCTACGGTGAAATAGTTGCTGGCCATGTGTAGACAGCTGTGGATGCTACATTGCCATAGTGTGTCGCTATGGTGATGTATCATCACATGTAGATGTACCCTCAATGTGGGGGCAGGGAGATGACTAGAATTTTGAAGGGTAGAAAGGGCTAAAGCAGCTGAGAGCCATGCATCCTGTGATGCTGGAGGACTGAAAGCAAAGTATTTTATTTCCTCTGACCATTGAAACAATGCACTGGAATGGCACAGGTAAAACATTTAAAAAATAAGCTTTGTGACTTATTTTTAAAACATTTAGATGGTACTTATGACAGGTTAACACCTTTGTAACAGGGACACCTAGCTCTGTTACTGAAAAGCGGGGCAGCCCCTTTAAGGACAGAGTTTTCAGAGCACAGCTTGCCGGCAGAGCAGGAATTAAAGGGTAGCCTTGCATGTCAGTCAACTGACTGGGGCTGCCACATGACCAGGAGAGAGCTCAGGACAGAGCTATGTAAGCCCTAAATCGAGCTAGCCAGGGCAGATGGCCAGCCCTGGCTGGGGCAGAGTGTGGGGTTCCTGAATGCCCAGGAGACTGGAAGAAAACAGCTCTGCAGGCTGGGGGACAGAACAGAGTGAGCCAGAGAGACTGAGAAGCTTGGTAAGCAGACATGCTGCCTCTGTTGTTTTTTGTCTTATGCTATAATCCAGACGTTTATTGTTTATGTTGCAGCTTAAACCACTGGCTTGGGCTAGGACTGTGACAGGCAGTATAAGGAGGTCTCCATTACTATCACGTGCCCCACAGGTACCTTTGAACCCTGACAGGGGCAGACTCAAGGCCTGAGTAGATATTCATCCTAGAATGGGCAGTGAGAGACAGGGGCTGGGGCCCAGAAGCCAGGCCTAGAGCAGTGGGCCAGGACTGCAGGACCAGCCAGAGTAGAGAGGTAGAAGCCAAGAAGGCTAAAGCCCCAACAAAAGGGGAAAAGGAAAGGCTTAGAGTGGCTGGAGATGCTGGAACAAGCGTCTCTTCCGATTGGAGATTCGAAATCTGAGAGGCATTGGGCACGGTGTAGGGATGGTGTGGAGCTGTGAAATTAACCTTTAAGGCACACGTCTGGGTGTTTTTTGGAGTAAGACTTGATCTGGGAAGCCCTGGGGCAGCCTCCCCTTTGAGAACCAAAAGGAACATCAAGATTTAACAGGTGAGTAAAGGGGAGACTGTTCCCAGAGTGAATTGGAAAAAAGGGGAACTCCAGGGTGCCTCCAAGGGTTTTCAACCACCCTGGGGATGGTACCCTATCACAACCGTTTGTCAGGTGAATGCTCCCATTTTATGTGTCTCTATGATGGTTTAAAGGTAACCTGTAACATGGTCCTATAACGCCCTGTTTATTCTTAAATAACTCTAGGTGCATCTCCAAATCACCCTATGGTGACGTAGTGATGTGCTACATCACCATATGGCATGCTGTGATGATGTAGCAATCACGTGGATCTACACATGATCACCAGCTATGTCACCACAGCAGCGCACACCTTGGTTATAGTGTGCCACTACAGTGACATAGCAGTGAACTCTAACCATGCACCATGCTTTAGGACTTCCAAAAGGAAGTCCTAAAGTACAGTGCTGTAGCAATTTGGTGATGTGTACATGTACCCTCCTTTTCCTAATTGACTACAATTTCCAGCTAATCTCCTCACTGACAGTGTGAGGGTGTACTGCTAGCTGGCCCAAGAAGCATAGTTGCATTTTGGGTAACATCAGAACAAATTCAAAACACCACAATTTTAGCTGCTTTACCATCAATACATCAATTAAGCTCTGATGGCCTTACATGTATGTGTGAGTTAAATAAAATGTGTGTTTCTTTAAACACTTGTTTTGCCTATTTAATTTATGGAAACAGAAAGCTGCAGGTAGGTCAGTATGTGTGGCTTTTTTATATATTGCAAGCTATAAAAGCAAATAAAAGGGAGCCCCTAATCTACTAAACACATAGAATTATACTTAGACTGAAATTTAATTTGCCAAATAAATTAATCTTTACTCAATGCAAGTCACTAAATCAATAGGGCACAAAACATGCCATATAGATTAGCAACCTTTAAAAAAAAAACACACCATAATGTACTACACACAAACTACTAGATGATCTCCACTCTGTCTCCAGGAAATCTGGGATAAATCCCCATATACCCTAGTACCACATGTGAGCACCAGTAAGCACATAATGAACACAAACAATTATGCCTTGGTCATATTATAAAAAAATAGCATGGGTAGGAGAAGTGAGCCTGGCTTGAGCTTGCAGGGCACCCATCACTGTTTGTGGACACTATCCATTAGGGGTGTGCAAAATGGGCCCTATGCAATTTGGATTCAGATTCAGCCTGAATCACGGACAGTGATTCAATTAGTCGATTTGGATCACTGTCTCTGATTCAATTTGGCTGAATCCAAAACTGAAGATTCGATGCTGATTCAGAGAATCAGTGATTCGGACATAAACACAGCTTTAAATATTTTTTCTAACATACCTCGAGGTACCAGGCATGGTTCATGAATGCTGCAATGCTGGGCTGGATGAAGCATCCCACAGAAGTGTGGGGGGCACCCCCACATGCTCGGTGGTGAACCCAGAAGTGGACCAGAAGTATTTCCAGTCCACTTCCAGATCTGCTGGGGAGCATGGTGACAGGGGCTCCTCGTGCCCCCCTGGCTTGGTGATTGGCTGTGGGGGGACCCCAGGTGTCCCCTCCCAGACCCAGGAGGCACCAGTCACGGAGTCAGGGCAGGGCACGGGGAAGCCCTCTGCATGCTCCCCAGTGGACCCAGAAGTGGACCAGCAAAGCTTCTGGTCCACTTCCGGTCTTCTGTCGAGCGCACTGGGGAGCCTGCATGCTCCTGTATGACACTCCATCAGCCCCACCTTCGTAGCATTCACAAGCCACCTGCTACTTGAGGTATGGAGAAAAAATATTTAAAGCTGTGTCTATGTCCGAATCAATTCAGACGGTTCTGATTTGAATTGGAAAGATTAAAGGGTCTCCTGATTTGATTCGAATTCAGAGATTCAGCCACCGAATCGGGCTGAACCTCTGCTGAATCGAGTCAGCGACCGAAGCTTTGCACAGCCCTATTATCAATGCAGGCACACATTATCAATGGGAACTCTGAATCCAAATTCTAAGTTAAAGGCCTTTTGTTAAGCATGCTTCTCCAGTGTGACATTAAAGGGGAAATACTTGATGCTCATTTTTTGGTTTCTCTTGGATCACTCTTGAAAGGGGTTGAAAACTTTTATTCTAAAAATATTTTTTGGATTTGAATGCCAGAAGTTTCCAGGAAATGAAAACTACAGCCTAACGATTCCATAAAGGAAAAAATATAGAAAGAAAGAAGCAGTGAGGCAGAGTGAGGTGAGGTTAAGCAGAGCGAAGCAAAAACCATGATAATAGAAAAATAAAATGGCAGGGAAGGAAAAGAATGAGAAGAAAAAATGTGAAACAATACTACAAAATAAAATTATTTAAGGATCATAAAGTGTGATTTGTTTTTATTTTTCAGGTCATCACTTTTTCAAAAATATTTTTTAAAGAATCCGGTATTTTAAGGGAATTTTTCTATTTCAAAAAGCAAAAAGGCCCATTAAAAATTTGACTGGCCCTGCAGTTGGCATAAGTGCTGAGTTGGGAAGACCCATAATAGGAAAGAAAGCATTTTGTGTTTTTATTATGTTTAAAGGAGAAGTAAATGTTGTACTCACTTCCAACATCTGTTTGTATTTCTTTTGTATCGTTCTTGATTACTTCATCGGCAAATTTTATTTCTGATGTGCAAGTATAATTGTGGTACGGTAAAAGACATGTCAATATTTTAGTATCTTCAGCTTCTGCATCAAAAGGAATTCCTGCATCAAAATGTAAAAACTTATTAACAGTCTTGCTGATTCAAAATCAATGATTAACCTTGCAAATACCATATCTTTTTGCATACCACATGACCAAATGAGACATACACCTTGTTTTGGGAAGGCATAATAAAGATTTTCATCTTCCTGGACACAGCATGGGCTCACCATGGCTGAATGCCCCTGACAGCAGGAGTGATGAGTATAGAGTACACCCCTCAGCATCACTCACCCTCTCCTTGCAGCTCCAAACCTAAAGGTTTAACCCTATCACAGCTGTTGCCAAAGTGGTAAATGTCCATTTGGCAGCAGCTATGACAGAGTTACACCTTTAGTTTTAGAGCTTCAAGAAGACATTGAGTGAGATGAGGAGTTGACACCACCCCTCCTACATGTGGCCAGAAAGGTAGCACAGTTCATGGCAGCCTTTCCAGCATCCCCTTCATTCCAGAGCTGGTTATCAGCTTCCTCACATGCACCCCAATTTTAGATGGCTAATTTTGGGGAGAAAGGTGTATTTGGTGTGTGAGTAAGTATGGTATTTCATCTCACATTTATAATTAATTCCTTTTATCTGAACATAAAATGAGCCAATACAACAATGACAGTTTAAAAAAGGGAAGCAAACATCATTCATAGCATCTGTATATTATAATAATACTGTCACAGTGCGAAGGCTAAGAACTCTGTTTTCACTCTTGCGACTTATATATATGTATCCTAATTTCATCCACATTCTCTCTGAGACCAAAAAGGTAGATTTGCTGTAATAAACTGGATATAGATATGATTCAAAATATGCAAGCTCCTTCCACAATAGAGTCTAGACAATTGTGGAGACTATATGAATGCTAATTTTAAATAGAGATTAAAACATATTTACAAAGATGTTTAATTTTAATTATAAAAATATATTCATGCTATTGTCTAGACACAGTAATGCACCAAGTCTGGAGGGTTCATTATGGATGAGAATAAAAAGGTCAGGATATTTATCCAAGTCCTTTGAGATCAAGCCCACTAAGCACATTCTATCCTTGATTATCCTGTTAGGACAGGCCACCTGTATATTTAGGACTATCCTCCTCATTAACTCTTATGAACACTGAGCTCTTTCCATCTTCATAACCTGAGTTATCTACCCTCCCTGCTTTCACTGTGGCCCTACCTGCAGAGGAGAGTACAGGTGAAAGTTGGAAGCCCAGCTGGAGGGTATTTTCCCAAATCTGTCTTCTCATTATTTTTACCCACCCCTTGAGGGGATAACTATAGATGCCTTCTTCCTCCTGTCATTTACTGTGTCCTGTATTACATTCTTATTCTGAGGTAGTGCCTGAACCAGCCCCTTTAATCAAATGCCCTATCCAGGCAGGGGATGTGGGGAGAGCCCTTCTTTTGATTCCTTCTAGTAGTAAAGAACCTGAAGAATTTTCTATATAGTAGTTAGGCTGTATTCTCCCTTGCTGTTAGCAATGGATAGAACTTATTGAACTCCTTTTGTTTTAAACACACTCATACTTGGGACAGTGGTAGAATAAAGAAATCCACCACTGTCCAGGAGAGGAATGGTGAGCTTCTGTGGCCTACATCAGCTCCAGCCTGCTACATTTTCTACAGATGTCAAGACTTGAGGGAAGGTTAAAAGTGGACAGACCAGCTTAGCTGGGTGCAGGTTGGGACAGCAAACCTCCCAGTATAGAAGAAACCTCCTAAACCTCACAAACCTCCCACTCTATAGAAGAAAAGTCTAGCTGGTATCAAGATCTGATTAGGGATTGCTCTCAGGCACCTGCCAGAGCTTCCCTGAAGGAAGGGAAACCTTATCTGGAACGACTGTTTTGATTGCTACCAATGCTGCCTACAAACTCATTAGGGGAGATCAGCAGCAAATAGGAAGGGTCCTATTCCCCCCAGCAGCACCTGGGGTGACGAGGAACAATGGCCAGAAGCTGCTGGAGAATAGGTTCAGGTTAGAGATTAGGAGACACTATTTCACTGTTAGGGTGGCTAGGATCTGGAACCAACTTCCTAGGGAAGTGGTCCTCACTCCTACCTTGGGTAAATTCAAAAAGAGGTTGGACAAACACCTGTCTGGGGTCGTGTGATCCCAGCGTGTACTCCGGCCAGTGGCGGTGGGTTGGACTAGATGATCTGTTCAGGTCCCTTCTGACCACAAACTACTATGAAACTATGAAAGGGTTGCTGCCTTTCCTGAAGAGGATGAACAGCAAAACAAAACCCTTTTGTCTTATGTACCTTACTAGATTGGCAAAGGTCTGTCATGAGCACAGGAGTGATATGGTCACAGAAGAGTTTATCATCTTGACTAATATTTTCTTACCAAATAGTAAACAGGAAAAATGTCAAGGCAACAACTCTTTAATGGATATGTATCTTCTCATTATTCTTAGACTTACGATATTTATTCAAGTCCAAAATGAGATTTCTTGCCCCCCCCATTTAATATGGGAAAAAAGCCCCTCATCTTGGATTTGAGAGCAAGGCAGTAGGAGAGTAGACAGCAGCGGCTGTGGCTGAGGTCAGGACTGGAGCCACAACTTCTGCCTGATCCCCCACCACCTCTGCCACCTACCCCCATCCCCCATTCAGCCATGGGCCCCCTTCTCCTCCGCCTTTGACCCCCTTTGAAGGCCCTGTTCCCCCAGTTGTCCACTCCAAACAGAAAAGGGTCCCCCAACCATCTTTTTTTCACCATCACCTTCCACCCAGCAGCCTCTTCCTCCTCCCCCCACACCTGTCTCAACAGCCCCAGGTGCGGCAGGTCAGACCAAGCCCCAGAACTGAGGCTGCCACTGCTACCCTGCCAAAGCTTCTACAGGGCTAAGCTAGGGCTAGAGCAAACAAATGCTCTGTGCCGCATGCTGGAGTGGAAATGAAGTCTGCTAAAGCTAGAGCAAAAGTAAGCAGAGGGGGAAGCAGAAATGGCATGGAGGAAGACAAGGGAAGGAGGGACCCAAGGCACAGGGCAGCCAAGTGGTGGGGGTACACAGGTGACAGAGGGCAAGGTGCAAAGGGCAGGTATCAAGACCAAGTTCCTGTCCCTGTACTGGCCACCACCACCTCCTCTACTATCTACCTCCCCACTGCCTCCTTTGCCACCTGCTCCACCCCCACCTCCCCTATTGCCTATCCCACCATTGTCATCCACAACATCACTTTCCCATGTCCTTCCCTCTACTGACTGTCCCCTACTGCTCCCACATTGCCTATTCTGCACCACCTGCCTATCTTCATCCCCCACTGCAGCAATGGAGGGATGAAATTAAGATGACCCTCCAAAAATTAGATTCTGTACATATATAGATTCTATATATTTGCTATACATATAACAACTTTATACTTTTTCTAGTAATACACACATCTAATTATTGAAGGATCTTCTTAAGTTCAGAGTTGTCTTGTATTTGGTAAATATTTCATTTTTTAAAAATATGTATTAATCTACACACATGTAAATTAATATAAGACTTATGCATGGTATCAAAACCTGCCAATTTTGATGGTTTTCATTTATTACATTTAAGAGAAACTGACTTAAATACTGTTGCACTTGCTGTAGAATTCACTAACTGCAAGCAAAAACTGTGGTCCACTGTTAATCAGTGCAGTAAATTTGGCAATTCAACTGCACCTGCTAAGAGACATAAATTAAGCAATTAAAACCGTAGCTATAAAAAGACAGTAATATACATACCAGCTTTACAGTCAAATGTGTACTTCATGCTGCAATTTTCTTTAATGTTCCCTGCCCATTTTAAGGTCACAGAGGTATTAGTTGTATCTTGAACCTCAAGTTTAAGTCCTTCTGTATCTTTAATGATAGAAACAACATAACACATTTAGTTCATACTTACTTTTAATATGTTTTGAAATACTTTTAATTTTCAATATCCACATATATGATTATATTTGATAATAAAAATATGCAAGACAAAAGGCATGTTTTAAAGACATTTGTAACATGCTATTTATTAAATAAGTTCTTTAAAAAAAAAATCAATGAAAAAAAACTTGTATCCTACTTCTAGACATCTGGTAACCCATGCAATTCTAGGGGTAAGTTCTAAGTGTAAGAATGGTCTTACTTGCATAGCTGCACAAGGAAACAAAGCACACAGTGGTGATTTATTCTGTAGATCAGAGGTTCTGAAACTGGTCCGCAGACCACCACTAGGCTGTGAGCTCCATTCAGGTGGTCTCCAGAAAGGTTGCGGAACAATCAAAAATATCTGTACTTGTAAGATAAGACTATTGATATTAAAATATAAGTTGTGTGCTTTGATTTGTAGAACAAAAAAAAAATTTAATAAGTGGTCCGCCAAGACCCTTAGCAATTTGCAAGTGGTCCACGGGAAAAAAAGTTCAAGAACCACTGCTGTAGACTACCCACTTCGTAAATAGTAGTGTTGGAAGGGTAAAAGATCTCACAGCTGAGGTCCTACCCTATGTAGATGGCTGAGACAGGACAGGACAAGAGATGCAGTTCAACTTCTACAATGCTGTCTCCCAATAAGGACTCTCTGCCAGATAATGACCTGACAGAGTTTACTCTCATCATTAACAAGCCTCTTTTTTGTTGTCTTTAGTTATTTGGGTGCTATATTTACCTACATTTTAAAAACTTGGCCTCAAGCTTTACAGTAGATAGTAGGCCTGATTATAAGACTTTACCTCTAGATCTGTGCCTACAAGTGCAAAGGTCATACTTTCAGAACCCAATAGCTCATAGGAACCTTACCACTGAAAGATTTTTAAAATGCTGTATCCTACTCGTATTCAGATTTTTCTGAATAAAGCCCTAGAAAATTAATAAAACTGTACTTACTAGGCGGGACAGACAATAGAAGAGTTCTACTGCATCCACCCTCAAATTCCATGGAAAGGTTATATATTTGACATTCTGTGAGGCTTAAATTAGAGGTGTTGTCTATTATTTTACACTCAGGATTACATGAGTAATTTTTCAATTTCAATCCAGAAGTGTTCAATGTTGCCACGACTGAATCCTGCAAGTACATGTAAGGACCCACTGAAGGGGTTTTATTTCCTGAAAAAGAGAAAGAAAATATTAAAATTACTAGTCTCTTCTTTTATTCTGGTATTTTCACATTCTTACGTATACTTTAGCTATAAAGAACTCATTCTTTTGAATATATTTAGTATTGTGAAATGCAAATTTCTTTAGGGGAACCCTTTTGTTAGGCCTTAAACTTCACTTTTTGGGGGACAAATAGAGGAAGCCAGGTTGAGTAACATAAAGGCCTTGTGCCCTACTTTGGCCTTTTAAGAACATAGTTCTAGTGGAGCTGAAACTGGTTTGCTTTAAAAAAAAGAATAAATAAATCAGGATAACGTTTTGCATTTCTATTTACAGATTATGAGCCTACCACTTTTGCACAGATTAGTCCTTCACTCTCACAGACCCCATTACATGCTATAGAGGGAGAGAGACATGCTATCTTGAAGAAGCAGATACCCAATCTATGCATAGGAAGATTCCTCAGATTTGTTCTGGGAAGTATACTCTGGCCCTCAGTTATAATAATAATTAATATAAAGTTCACTAACCAATGTTGATGCTGGTGTAGGCTACAAGCACAATACGGCAACACTGATGCTAAGTTTGAGTTACCATTTGCTAGTTGTTCAGAAAAAAAACAAAACTCTTTTCAGATTGGGACATGGGGAATGAAGACCCTTCAGGGATTCAATGGGAAGGAGACAGTAGTAAAATTTTCCAAGTAGAAAATATTCAGAATAGGCCAAGGCTGGTCAGATGGATCTTTTGGAATGATAGCATTGGAGGGAGCAGGCATTTTGGGGTGTTGATGCCCTAAAAAAATTAATTGGATTATAGATTTTAGTCAACAGGACTATTCTATGTCAAGAACTATGGCAGACCCCTTTGGGATTCTCCAGGGAAATGGAACAGAGAATGGGAAGGAGCCCCATGGCTAATCTCTGGTAGACACCAGTGTGCTGCATTAAAGGCTGTGGGATGTTCAGGAGTAGCTGAACACTTTCCTCAGATGTGGGCCAAACAAACAGGAGTGTGGAAAAATTGAGGCTGAGGTGGTAATTGAGGACCCTGATTCACTACCTCAAAGACAATACTAATACTCAGTAGAGGTAGGAGGCAGCATCTGGGAAACTATAAAAGCACTACTAGATCAGGGAGTCATAGTGGAACAGCAAAGTTTAAATAACTCACTCATTTGGCCGCTACTGAAAGCAGATGGAAAGATGCAGATTACAGGGCTCTAAATAAAGTGTCTCCCATGACTGTGCTTGTGGTAGCAAAATATCCAGAGCCAATGGCTGTAATAGCAGAAGGCTCCAAATGATTTTCAGTATTAAATATGTCCAGTTTCACAGTTCCCCTCCATTCAGACTCATGGTATAAATTTGCCTTTTTCTTTTGAAGAAGACAGTATATGTTTACCTGAGTCCCACAGGGGTTCCATAATGCCCCAGCTATGTCACACCCATGTAATGAGACTGTGGGACAAACTGGCAGACTAAAGGAGAAAACTTGGAAGTACCAGAAGAAGTTTTGAAGCTTGTACACAGGGCTGAGTTTAAGATAAGCCTGGCAAAGGCCCAGTTATACATACAACAGTTATCATTCCTAGGGGTAATGTTAGGTCAAGAAGGGAGAAGCCCAGATATGCAAAGAGTGGAGCTTATTCAGAAACTGCCAGCCCCAACAGATGTTACAACATTAAGGTCCTTTTTGGGCCTGACTAGACTTTCCCAGGACTTTATTGAGGGATATACCAAAAAGGCAACTCTGTTATACGAGTAGTTAAGGAAAGATGCCCATGGGAATGGGAGCCAGAACAGAATGAGGCAGTCAAAATCCTGAAGGAAAGTCTAAGGCAGGCTCCAGCACTGGCCTAACCCTGTATGGAAAAAACCGTATGTTTTACAATTAGCCACAACTGCTACAGGGACTGTTAAACCAGAATCACAGTACTGATCTGACCAGTAGGTTAAGCCTCCAGAATACTGACTGCAGTGGAATAGGATTTTACTGTCTGTGAAAAGGAAGTGCTAATCTTAGCGTGGGCTATGCAGCACTGGGAGTAGTTGGTGGGTCTCTCCCTTGACATTAAAAACCACCCATACCCCAGTGAAGTATGCGCTATCTGGAAGGGATAATCATGGCCCTGTGTCCAACCCTCAACTGGCAAGATAGATGCTGGCATTGTTAAACAAAGAGAATTGTAGAGAAACAGGCAGGTTTATCCCCAGTAGCTTACAGTCTAGTAGTGGTATAGGAAGGAGAACATGACTGTTCCCCCACAACCAGGGTCTGCGCTTGTCTTGACTGACTTAACTTTGGAAGAGACCATGGCTGGGGATGATGAGTTATGGTTTATGGATGCATCCATTTATTATGAAAAGGACACCCCATATACAGGGTATGCTGCCATGAATATAATAACTGCCAAGACTGTAGCAGTGGCAGTAGCCTTGGAGAACACTTCATCTGGTATACCCATGGCTGTTTTCTCAGAGTTGGACTGGGTGGTCCAGGCTGCAATAGACTGGCTATCTATTTGGAGGGTGAGGAATATGAAAACAGTATATGGTAAACTGGTAGCACATGCTGGGGAGCTGCTTTACCGAGGCAGACTGGCAGCACAGCTGTAGCAGCCAATCTACAATATCAAGGTTAAAGTGTATAAGCAGGTGTAACAAAGAGCCAGGGGCTCCTGTTACTTTAAGAAAGTGCAGGATGCTAAGCTGGCTGTGTGGGGCTGCAGCAGCAGGAGCATAGGCTGGACCTTAATGAAAAGAAGAAACTCTTGTGTGTGGCTGGGGAGCCCATGGTAGGAAGGGAACAGGGCATCAAAGCATATAAGTCCAGAACCTGAACCAGGGCAGGTAGTCAGACCCTGCATGCTTCAGGGAGAGGAGCTTCCCAGGAAACCTGGATGCAGGAAGCAAGCCCATGGACACCCAAGCTACCCATGAAAGCAAGACTGAGCCTGTCACTGGGAAGTATGGTTGGGTATTAACCCTGAGCAGAGAAAAACATTGTGGAAGCAGTTTGATTATATTTCTGTTGTGCTGGTGTTTTTTGTTTAGGACTGAAGGATTTGGATGGTTTGGAGGCCACAGGGAAACACCCAGTAGAGAGTTCCATAGTAAGGGTCAGGGAATAGGGAACAGGGGCCTAGAAGCATGGGGCAGAGACCAGAGTCCAGAAGCCCATGAGCATGAGACGGGTATCGAGCTCAGAAGCTGAGGTCCAGGACAGTGGACCTTGCACTAAGGGGCCCAGCTAGATGAAAGGGGCTGAAGCCAGGAAGGCAGAAGTCCCAACAAAGGTTCAAGGCTTGAGGGGATGAGTGCAGTGTCAGGGCCAAGACCCCCCCTCCCCCAAACACACACTAAACACTCACCGACATCTGTAAGGCATGGTGTGACTAAGGGGGAAGCTGAAGAGCACTATTATTGCCCCTAAGGCACAACTGGGGTTATCTTAAAAAGGAACCCCACCCTGTACATTTTAGGGCAAAGGAGTCCCGAGGTTTGGGGCAGAGAAGCCTGGAGAACTGTACATCAAGGAAAGGCACCCAGGAAGTTCAGACTACCCTGGCCTCTGGAGGCAGCCTCCCAAGTTAAAAGACCCCCCAAAAATCAAGTCATGGCAGGAAAGAGATAGGAGGTAAATGGAAACTTGGGAGCCCATGGGAAAAAGAAGCCAATGAGGTGGTAATGGCTGTCCAAAGAAAAGGACTTGGCCTCTTTGCAATAGGAAGATGATAATCTCCAGGAATTAGTAGATGAGGGAAAGTACTGGGAATGGCAAATATGGAAGGATCCCTCTGGGCTCATGCTTGTACAGAAGGATGGAGGGGACTTCCCTGTTTGGTTGGTGCCAAGATACATCAGGACAGAATTGGTTGCTTTGTCTCATGACCAGAGCCACCTTGGGATACATAAGACTTTAGCCTGAGTACAAACCACAGGGTAGTGGTCCAAAATGAAAAAGATGTCAAAGTATGTAACCAATTGCTTACCCTGTGCTGCTAACAACCCCAACTCAAAAGTAGTGAAAGGACCGCTAGGACACCAACATGTAAGCAGACCCTGAAGTAGGTTATAGGTGGACTTCACCAGCCCTTTACCTTAAAATGCTAAAGGTAATAAGTACTGCTTGGTTAACATGGATAGTCTCACCAAGTAGATAGAAGCTGTTCCCACAAGGAATAATACTGCCAATACCACAGCGAGTGTGCTGGTGGAGCAAGTCTTTTCCAGGTGGGGAACGCCTGAAAAAACAGATGCAGACCAAAGACCTCATTTCATAGGAGAAGTTACCAAAGAAGTGTGCCAGGCATTTGGGATCAAGCAACGGTTACACACAGCAAGACACCACTAAAATTCAGGGCAAATAGAAAAAACTAAACTCACTGTAACAGGGGGCCTTCCTGTTGCCAGTCGGCCATTGGCCCACTCACCTATTTCTGGGCCAACCGCCTGCCTCACCTTGTTGTTTCTTAATTGGTTCTAATTAAGCAGGAGGCTGCCCATTCTTGCCCCGATGCCAGGGGGCACTATCTGTGGCTCCGTTCCTTCCCTACACTGCAGCCCAATGCTTCCAGCCTACAGCCAGACCAAGCTTAGCCCTTGTCATCAGGCCTCAGACACACACACATTCATACTGCCCTCCTCTCACTAGGGTCTCTCACACTCCACCCCCTCTCACAGGATCTCTTTCATACATCAACAACTTATACTGCCTTGCTTCCTCTTGGAGTGGGCCTCTTCAGCCATAGGCTTTATGTAGCGCACACCTTGGGTGGCAGACATACCATCTTTTGGGCCTCTCCCACAACCTTCGCTAGGATAGTGGCCAGCCAATTACCTGACCGGGGCCAAGCTTGCCCTGGCTCCTCCCAAGGCAACTCTATACAAACTCACGCATACACACTGGGCTCCCAGCCCTCTGTTTTCCCCCTCACTGGGGCTCTACACCTCTACCCCTTCACTAGGGGCCTGCCCTTATTGGGGCTCCACATCTTCCACCCCCTCAGTGGAGCTATGGGGCTTCCCTCCCTGGTGGGGGCTCAGGTGGCCATAGCCATGCCTTGCCCCAACTGCTACCCACAGTGATGTGGGGTCTAAAGGTTATTGAGGCACCCTGACCTGCCTTCCACCAGGGTGTTAACCGGTCTGGTACTTTCCTGGAGGCTCCAATGCCACTGGGAGCCCCACCAGGCCATCCACTCCTCTCAGGGTTCAGTTTTAGGTCATACCCAGGACCAAGAATCTCCTGCTCCTACCTGTAGATGTTCTCATACATCAGCTCAGCCAGGCGATGTTTCTGCCTGGCCTTCCAGCAGCAATCTGCTCTGTTTATAGGCAGATGGTGTCTCAAAATGGCTGCTGGGATCAAACACCTGCTGGCTGTTTGGCTTAGCCCTTAAAGTGGCAGGCACCAACAGTGCCCTGCCACACTCCCTTTGACAACCACCTTGAGAAAGGTGGTAAATCAACAAGGGAAGGATTGAAACCAGAAGTTTCCCTTAGCGTTAATGACCTTATGGGGAGCAGTTGCATTTTATAGCATTACACCCCATAAAGCCATGATGGTAAGAGACATGAGATTACCATAACAATGATGGCTAGGAGGGGAGCCCTTTGATGAAATGCAGGCCAGAGTATTGACTGATCAGTGGGTCCAAAACTCACTGATGGATGTATCGGCCACTCAAGGACAAGTAGTCACAGCCTTGAAGGCTAATGTCCAAAGAATGGACAAAGAGCTAGGGCCAATTCTACACCTGGTCGAAGGGAGCGTTAGCAACCAAGTGATGTATAGAGGGATTAAGGGAAAAAATCATGCTTTAGGATCACCATGGATGGGTCCCATTCACATCATAAACAAGGCCAGCATGATGGTACATCAGATAGAAATATGACACAGGAATATAAAGTCCAAAATGGTACCAGAAGTGATATAGTCCTTTTGTGCCATCCAATAAGGATGAGGCATATGCATGTTTTGTCCTGAAGCAAACCAAGATGTGTCACCCCTTGGAAGACTGGCTCAAGCAATAACTGGAATTCTTATCATCTGGATCCCAGGAATTGGTTTGAAGCACACCATTTATATAGAGCCAAAATACCCGCTGATGTGACAGTCCCTTAGTGAAGGTATGGCTCAGTATGAAATTTAAATGTGAAATTGATGTCACCATGACAACTCACAGTAAAAGATGGGTTATTTCCATATAGTTGGATGGAAGACCTGGATAAGAAACTCAATTGAAAGGTGTGTGTATACAATGAAACTTGCTCCTACTGTAAAGGTGACTCTAATTTTAGATAGCAGCAGTAAACCCAGTTATGGTAATATAACAAAGCATAATAAAGGAAAGAGTGTGGTTTAATTACATACTAACAAACCAATCATGCGGGGTTAACCCCACCATTCTCATGTAAAACATGCAATCCACACCACTGATAATGGTAGAATACTTAAAACCCTGGGATTTGACACCAGCAATTGAACCGAATGGTCCCTATGTAATTTGAAGGGACCATATGTAGAAAATTTTGGCTATCCCTGTACACCACTTAAGGCTAATTGTTTTATCCCTTCAGAATTTTTCAGTAGCCTCTGTTAAACCAAGGTGTGCCTGCTTTGCAAAACCTTAGATACAAGGATGGGAAACATGGATAAATTCATGGAACCAATAACAGACACCAACTTTGGTTTTCAGGAGAGGGTGTTTGCAGATGTAAAAAAACCCAGAGCTTTAATTTAAATGTGGCATATTTCCACAGTGAGCCCCGCACATGCCTAGAAGAGGCAGCATGTTACTTCAGCCCTTGGACCAACAGCTGTAAAGATCAGGTGTTTTACTGGGGCTTTTTTGGCACTTTTATCTAATAGCTGATTGAATCAGTTTTAGCTAAAAGCACCAAAAAGCCAAGCTTAAGCTCCCGATCTTTACACATGTTGCAGAGCCAGGTTGAAATAACACTCTGCTTCTTCAAGTAAAGTGTTGTGGTTTTTTCTTTAATATCTGCAAGCAGCCTGCAGCCATGGCTCATGGGCACTGAGCACCTGCTAATTTTTTTCAATGGGTGCTTGAGCCCTGGAGCATCCATGGAGTCAGCACCTATGAAAACAATCACAAACCAGAGAAAAAGAGATTTAGGAGCCATATTAGGAGATGCTGAAATGGGGACCAAGGTTTTAAACACCATAGATAAGGAAGTTCTAGCAAACAAATTAGCCACTGTGGGTGGGAATCTAAAGAAATTAAATACGTCCCATTAAATTCATAGTTATAAGGCTTAGGAATGCTGTGATGGCTAGAGGTGCAGGTAACAGAGGGATTGTTTAATCTTCCATAGGACACAACATCTGCTGAAAGCATTAGGGGAAGGGCAAGAAAATACATCCCTGGTACTAGCATGCATACAGGTTACAAACCGTGATTGCCAGTATTATCCAAGAATTATGTAAAACAGTATGGGATACTGCCAGTGAAATGGAAAGACAACTTTAAGCCTGGTAGACATTAAACAATTTTATGTATAATGATGAAACCAAAACTATTACTGCCAATGTGGTAACTATAGAAGGGGATGAAGGTTGTAAGGTATACCCTATTGTAGCTTTGGGAACAATTGAAAAATTTATTAATGATGCCTGAAGACCACCAGTTGTGTTCTGGACAAAACAAATTAGGAGAATGGGACACTTCAAGTGTAGAGGTATGTATTGTTGAGCAAGATCTAGGATTTATTCATGAAGGAACACCCTTGAATCCTACCGATGAGTGTATAACCCATGGAAATAAGTGCCACTTCCAGTCAAGAAGTGAACTGAAAATGGGAAATAATACTGTAATTGTATGCATAGGATCAGGAGCATTCTGTTTTAGACCTGAATATGAAAATGTTACCCTCAATGAAAATGTAGCAATTGCATTAAATCAGTCTAATTATTGTGTGTAGACTGTAAGCATCTTATAAGTGGACACTCATTTCCATATTTTCTAAAGGAAATGTTTCATTTTAGAAACGCTGAAATATTTTATAGCTTGAATTTTTAACTTTTTTTGTTTTGTATGGCATTTTGCTGTAAATTGCTCCATCTTGCATAAAATAAAAGTTCACAATATGAGTGCAATATACAGATTTTATGACAATATAAAAATAGACAACAATTGATAATTTTTGAGAACTGAATGGCATGTAATACATAATACACCACGCAGATTTGTTCATATATATCCAGGCAAGGAAGAACTCTATGATAATATCAGCTAGAAACTATTATTGTATTACAGCATAGTTCCTTGACTCAACAATCTTGTTTGTGTAAAACTTTGGAACTTTGCTTGTTTGTTGCTGTTCGGTCTCCAGTTCACCCCCACCCCAGCATGCCCTCACTATGAGCACAAAAGTCTGGTTTTATTTGTTTTTAATCAATTGTTCTTTATCATCTGTAGAATTTTATTTCTTTCAGGATGTAAAAGATAATTAAAGCAAGAATTTAAGGGCATGTGAATATAAATAAATTACCATGAGCATGGCTTTGCAGTGTATCAGTTGCTCTTGTGATAACTATCTTTGTATACACCCTTATACATAGTCTATGACAAATGAAAATATATAGTCCATAACAAATGAAAGCTCACCCATGGTAGCTTGCCCTTCTGTGAAAAAACTTAGCTTTCATCTACCATTGCATAAGAGCATACACAGAGCCAGTTACTACAGTGTAGGTGATGTGCTTTGAGACCCTTGACATACTGTAGGTTCTACAACTGGTGGTGTTACTCCCATCACAAAATGGAAGTAGGATATCTAAGCAGAATGTGAAGTTGGCCAAAGCAGTGCAAAAGCTTGTAGAACTGCAAAACATCCCTTCAAAACAGTAACAAAGCTCACAGAACAAAACAAACTGCTTGCCTGTATGCTAATTTGAGCTGCTGATTTAATATTTATGTATCAATTATTGTAATCAGATGAGGAGAGTTTGTTTCTGGTTTAAAAGAGTACATTTAAATATAACTTACCACAGCCCATTTCAGAAACATGTGCTGGTGTGGGTGCTGTAAAAAGAAGGAATAAAATGAGAAAACGGGCTTATATTAATCATTTGCAGGAAGGGGAATTGTTAGTACATTTATCCTGAGATCTCCAAATATTTGTTTCTAAATAATATTAGCCTTTTTATGCTAAAACAGTTGGTTTAGAATAAGTCACATTTTATCTTCATCTCATGGTGGGCACATCCACATGTGATGATTTTTAAGCCTCATTAACCATTTTTAAGATGTATTAAGGGCGTGGGTCTACACATACGTGCCCTTAATGCAACTTTAAAATGGCAATTTTAGGCTAATTGTGCATAAAGTGGGTGTCAAATTTAGGTTCAATTAGTTAAGGCACTTTAACCCACATATAGATGCCTGTAACTCCGTGGAGGGGAAGGGGGCAACACAGCACGAGCAGGGCCTTTGCTTGCCTCTCCCTCGGGGTGGGTTTGCTAGCCAGACAATGCAGTCCTGCAAGGGCAGGGTGACTCATTGCCTGCCTGGGATTCAGGTGCCCTCAGAAGCCCACACTGGGGCTTCCACCCAGGACAGCAGGCAGGCTGTGACTGCATTTGCCCCAGCACCCGACATAGCTTTCCCTGCTCCACCCACCTCCTCCCCACACAAGTGCATGGCCACCCTGCTGGACACTGCCCATGGGGCTCTGCGTGGTTCAGCCTGGGCTGGCTGGGAGCAATGCAGGCAGAGGCTACGCTCTCCTTCTGGCCTGCCTGATCCATGGCTGAGCCTCCACCTGCATTACATCCAGCTTGCCCTGGCTGAGCCATGCAGAGGCCCCAGGGGCTCATGCCACAGCTCCAATGGGTAGTGTTCAGCAGGAAGGCCAGGCTCTTGCCTGGCATGGAGGTGGGTGGAGCAGGGAAAGCTGTCCCAGGTGCTGACAGCAGATGCAGTCCATCTGCCTGCTGTCCCAAGTGGGAGCCCCAGAACAGGCTTCTAAGGGTGCCTGGATCCTGAGTGAGAAGCAAAGCATCCCACCCCTGCAGAGCTGCATTGCCTGGCCAAAAAATTTGCTCCTAGGCATGGGAGAGCCATTAGCAAAAGCCCTGCCTGTGCTGCGCTGCCCTCTTCTCCTTCCAGGGAGTTGCAGAAGGCCTTTCTCTTGTGCTTTGACAAGAGCCCTTGTGCCTCCTGCCTCCTCTGCCAACTTAGTTCCAAGTCAGTCAGCACACTGACAGGTACTGCTGCTGCCAGAACTGGCACTCCAGCTCCAGTGTTTGCACCTTGCAGAACAGCACCCGCTGTGTCTTCTTCTTGATGGTATCTGGCAGCAGTGCAGAGCCCTGCAGGCTCGGCTCCAGCTTGCTGTCATCCAATGCTGGGGAGGCAGGAACATAGGGAGGGAGTTAGAGCCAGAGCTAGGGCTGGATCCAGGTCTGAGTCAATAATATCTGGGGGAACTGGAGGCTCTCACCCCCTCAGCCAGCACTGGGTTGCACTGCCCAGCTATGCTGCCATAGACTCCTGGGGACTGTCCAGGGTGCTGCCCAGGGCGGGCTGCCAATGCATTCAGTCAGTGATCTGGGTTAAGGTGCCTTAAGGTATGCATGTGTAGACACACACCTAAATCACTTTAATGCGCCTTAGGCTAAGGTGCGTTAAGTTTAGGCACACATAAATTCATGTGTAGACATGCCCAGCATGTATTTTATATCTCTTTGCATGATTGATTATAAGTTATAACTTCCCATCATATGTTTTACAACCTATAGTTCCATATGCACAAGCTAAATTATTTCTCTAATTGATATGATATTAAAGATATATGAGTGACATTACTCTTTCATCAAAATTGGAATATTTAGCTAGGATACAGTCAGAATTATAGAATAAAGAGTGTATCAATTGTGATATCTACTAAATAAATAGAATCTAATTACTTGGAAGATAATTAATTATTTACTGAAGTAAGAAATACAAGAACAGGTTTCACCATTTTTATGATGAAATGAAAGAACAGATAATACTTTCTGTTCATAACTTTCATAAAGGAAATATGAACTTTTAAATAAAATTTAACTACCACATTGACAATAGTAAGCATCCTGGAAAAAAAATCTTTAGTTTCTTCAGTTGAATCTGTGACAAAATATATTTTTATTAATTTTCAAAGATAAAGCCACTTTAGGCTCTGGCATTTCACATGCATGAGGTATAACTGTGTGCAGGTCTGTCACCTATTGTGAGATTGGAAGCAGTTGTAGCCATGGAATGTGAGGTGTCTGCAGAAGACTGAGACATGTTTGTTGAACTGCTGGATGGAGTAAGAGTCATGGATGGTAACGTGGAGGCATGCAAGGGTGATGGATTAGAAAAATCTGCAAGGAAATGAACAGAACAAAATACTATTAAGAGATTCTCTCCACTTGTTTGTGTGTTCGTATTAAAAATGCATCTTTACCTGTTGGGTTTTTTGTATTAATTGTGCAGTGTATTAACACTGTCATGCTTTGCTGAGGAGGAGCTGTTTTAAGAATTACTCCACTCTCAACCCATACAGAACTTCCCCCATGAACAAATCAAGACAGGGCTACTGACAACCTGGGACATCTAAAGGAATACAGCAAACCTGATGATTTATGTATGGTGGTAGCAGAAGTGTGTGCAGTAAGGGCAGCAGAGCTGCTGAGTGGCTGATTGCTGGTTCCAACTGAAGAGCTTGAGTCTGCATGAGTGGTAGTATATGAGCTGCGTGTTGGCATGATACCTGTAGCAAGGAAGTACAATCGTTTTGTTAATGTTTCCCAACATGCTATATGCACAAAATGATAGTACCATGTAAATGAGGTTGCTGTAGTTAGAAAAAAGTACTAAAAGGAAGGGAATTGAGGTCTGACTGCAGGTCATAAACATACTTGAGCTCACCTTGAATTAGCTAGCCTGGGTATCAGTAACAGTATAGTCATGGGAGCATGAAGAAAAGCACAAGGTGTAAAACCAATCACAGACACTGGGTAAATAAGCAATTATTCTGTGTTCAGCCTTGTGTTAATGCACCTACACTGCTATCACTCCCTGAGCTACATGGCTTAAAGGCAGCTTGGGGATGTTAGACCTCTGAATAAAGTACAGACATACCCTATAAGATGCATGGTTATACAGTATTAGCTTTTCTTTTCTTTTAGTAAGCAATCAATTTTATTTAGTTTGTAGCACAAAAAACAACTGGCAAAAACAGAAAAATACAAAATGTAAGTAAAGTTATTATAAGTATATAGCTTTTACAAGCCAGCACCTGAAGTTCTGAGTGCTCTGTTCTTATTGACTGATTTCTCTTGCTGAAGTCAAAGGTGAGACTTCCATTTAGCTTTAGTGGTATCAGGATATGGCAGAATGTGCCATCTATTTTGTGAAGTAGTTGGGTGCGTACACAAGTACTAAGTCAACTTAAAATAAAGTGACTTAACTAAGTCACCTTAACTAAGATGATTTAAGTTAAGCCACATTGAAGCATACACACATACAGCTCCTTGACACCTTGCACTTAGAGTCAACTTAAGTAATGCGACTCAAGTTGATACACCTTGGAGGTGTATGATCTTGCACCACATTTAAGTCAACTCTGCTCCATATATGTGCTTATGCTCTGACAACTAAGTTGACTTGAAAAAGTTAAGTCAACTGTCAGAAAGTTAGGGCATTTATACACATACATTTGCCTGCTCTGATGCATGTCAAAGCAGACTCAATTATACTTGACAGCTACTTCACACCAGATTAATCAAGTCTGCTCTGCATACAAGCTGGTGCACACAGCACTGTGTCACATGCATTTGTATAAATGGTGAAATGCATGTCAATGCTGAGAAAATGGTGGTGGTGAGCTTTTGATCTAAAACACCTTCAATGTCTTTTAGTTTAAAAGTGTGCTATATTCTCAGTGCTAACGCACATTTTGCTGTTTATACAAATGCATGCACCGCAGCACCGTGTGCTTTTAAAAGCACCCAGCGCTGTGGCACAAGCATGTTACAAATGCCCTTTGTACTTGTGAACAACAGGTGCCATGCACAAAATAAGTTTATACTTGCTTTTTTAATGATTGTTAAAAATAAATCATTTAAAGCTCATTTAAAGCTAGTAAGACTATTGGTCCAGACATATTTGAGCAAAATCATTAAGTCAAAATTATTTCTTAAAACCTACTAGAGACATTTATGCAATTAGTTAAGTGATTTGCTCAAGGGCACAAAACCCAAAGAGTGACAGAATTAAGAAACTGTATACACAGTACCTCGCACTCTTTAATGCATGCCCCTTATAGGGTCAATAAATGTAGGAATAACTGAAATTTTCTAGGATTTTAGGGAAACAGATGGAACTTGTGAAGAGACAAGTTTTCTCCCCTCATGTCTGAGATAAGACTATAACCTTTCAATCCATGCATGCTTTAAATATGACCTCAGGACACCAAAATCATATATGTCCTTTGGGATTGATGAGTTGGCAAAGCACTTTGTACAATGTACATATATCTTAAGTCAGTGGTGAAGTAGGTTTATTCTTTTTAAGATACAAGGGTAAATAAAAGACTATAGGAAATTTAGAACTTGAGTTTCCTACCATCAGTGATGGAGGGAAAGGAATCATCAGAATAATATGGTGCATAGACAATGTCACTAACTGTACTAATGATATCGGTGAGGAACCAAGAAACAACCTACAATAGCCTTGGTGAAATCAGACATTATATAAGATATACAATACAGATTAGATTCTGATATACTTATTCACAATGCAATAAACATGAATCAAAATGAGTAAGGGGGACTACACATAGTGTAATACTGTTAAAACATCATTCAAAGGTTCAAACACAAGTCTGTCACAGTATGAATCCAAAAACAGCCAATATAAAATTATATTATTTTTTAGGTTTTGTAGTTACTCCTATTAAAATGTGTCGATCAAATTTCTATGTTGCATTAATATCACTACTACTAAAATTGTAATTTGATTTTATGCTATGAATTTGAGTGGTAAAATGGATTGATCTGAGTGGACTTAGGATCACAGTTGTTAGATGTTTAAATTAAAATGTAATTAATTTTCTTGAATTATTTGGTAAACCTTGGTAAAAGTTTAAGTACTTTTTGAGGGAAGAAAAATGTGAAAACACTATCAGACATTATAACAAAACCAAGTAACTATGACCATTTTGCTATGTATAGCAGCACATGTCATTTCAGAACCTACCATGCTCTAGTATTAATTACATATATTACATTTCTTCTTAGAGGCCAGGACCTTGTTGTCTTATATGATGTACAAACATATCACAAAAACAATCCTTACCTGAAGAGTTTATTGTCTAATGAATAGTGCAGTATTTGTGAAATACTTATTACACATTCAGAAACCAGAAAACTCATTCATCTGTCCATTCTTTATAAATTGATTTGTTATTTTCATTCCACATTTTCAGTATTCTAAATGTAAAGATATTAAACATTCCAGAAGATAAAACTAAATTAACTGTCATATTAGTAATTAATAACAATATAATACAAGCTAATTTCACCAAGAAGTAAGGTAGTACTGTAATAAAAAAAAGAGAGTTGTCTTACTAGGTTTAGCAGGCTCTTCAGTTTGGCCTAAAAGAGATAAAATAAGGGGTAAATGTCAAAAGAAGATTAGGCACTTTTGAGTCCATACATTAAGATCCAATCAATCCTGATTCAGCAAACAAATTTTTCATTTGCATCTTAATTCAACAGAAAATGTAAGCATGCATTTAATTTTAAGTGTTTGAGTAGTCCCATCAAACACAATGAGTTCACTTGCAAGGTATGAAAACCATGCACACACTAAACTCATTAGTGGCTGCTGTTCGTTAGGAAATAATCTAATACCCAGCCCACTGTTTACATGTCATGAGAGGCTCTGAATATGTTTTAAAAGTGTGCCATTGCTCTACAGAAGTTAAAATCTGAGACCTGGAAACTGACAGATCAGAGATGTAAATGGTAAGATGTTGCTACCTGTCACTTTGCAGTATTGTTTTTATATATTTTCATTTGTTTAGAAGCATTAGTTAATATTTGATTCTATTTGGCAATAACAACTAAGCATATCCTTTTAACGTTAACAAGTTATGATATAATGGAATAAGTCAGATCCTCAGATGACATACATTATCATATGTCCACTGAAGTCAAAGCAAATATGCTAATTTAAAACAACTGGGAATCCATTCATCATCACTAATGCCATACTTTCAGTTCTTAGTTGGAAGAGGAGAATGGGTGTTTCCTTCCCAGACTTATACTGATTGTTTTTTGACTTACCCTGATATCGAGATATATTTTTATATTATTAGGCATTCAACCTATGAACTAAAGTTAGGAAGTTATAAGCTAGATTTGACAAGTTATAATTTGACCTATTCAAAATTGATTTTGAACTAGGGCTATTTTTGATTACCTCTGCTCAGCATATGAATACAGGAGTAGTCCCAGTAAAGTAAGCATTTAAATCAATTAAACAACAAAATCTAGTTTTGTTTTGTTTAAAGATCATCTCAAGTTCAAATGGTAGCCAGCCAAGCTCTATGGCAAAGCACAAATTCATTAAAAAAAATTTTTTAAAGAAGATTATGTTACACTTTCATTTTTGTGGTTGTGAATTGTATTCTACTTTCTACCCTATATTTCACTTATATATTATGTAAAATTATATCTTATGGTTTTTGATTGGTCCCAATCTACTAAACTGAGTAGAAGAATTCCAGAAGGCTTAGAAGCATATGTGATATCTTTTATTAGACCAACTAAATTGTTGGAAAAAGTTGTTTTTTGCAAGCTTTCAAGCACAAACACCTTTCTTCAGGCATAGAGAGGGTCTGGTGGTGTTTTGTGTGCTCTCCTGGGTACTTTGCAAAGAATAATTTTCCAATGATTTAGTAAGTCTATAAAAGATATCACATCTACCCAAAGAACCTTGTCTGCCTATGTCCTTAGACCAACATGGCTACAACCAACAATCCAGAAGGCTTACAATCAAGTAAAAAAAGATGCCTTTTTTTCCTTTTTTTTCTATAGGCTTTCTGATAAATATTGTTAAATATCTAACTATTTTTAAGGTAAAATAAATGTAAAACAGGAATTAATTAAAAAAAAGAAATTAACATATTATCTGTTTAGACTAGCTTATGTATTTCAGGTCCTTCTGTATTCTACTATTTGTATCACAGTCACATCTGCAGGGCATTGCCAGATTGTGCTAGCCTCTGTACAAACATAGAACAGTCACTGCCTGGGAATTTTAAAGAATTAAGCATCTAAGACATCTAAATCAATATAAATAAATGAGAAGTGCTGTACCCATGAAATACCTATATACATCAAATAAAAAATAGGCACATGGCTTCCTTCTTTTCTTCCCTTTTGTAAATCAACTCATGCATAACTTACACCTAACACCTGAATAGTCCTACTGAAATCTGTGAACTAATTTGTACTATACAAAGAGCACACCCGCTCTAGGCCCTTTAATGCCACCCATTCAGAAAGGATGCGAGTCATCTGAATTATCAGTCATTCTCAAGATGCTTTTAAACACTCTTTGAGATCTAGAAGCATGTATATCAGGAATGAGGTTAGCAAGAGACTGTGAAAAAATAATCTCTAATAAAGTTGTTGCATCTTATTATACAGCCTGTCACTTTGTAATGTAACTTAATATCTATACTTTTTTGTTTTTTCAATTACAGCTTGAATGTATGAGTAACATTTCATTTTTTAATGTACACAATTCCAAGATATATCATTAGATGGTAAAAATCACTGTATCCTCACTGGCACATGGGTTATGTTGATTTGCACAAGCTGAGAATCTATTGATAAAGATTGCTAAGGACAATATAATAAAATTGATATGTGAATAAAAAATGTTTTATTGACAGGTAGAAGGAGACACCAATATCTTGTACTTGTAAGACTCCTTTGAAAATATCTATTTTACGAAGACCTCCCTCAGTTGTGGTCATTAACAAAAGAAACTTTTAGCTATAGTCCAAAGAAATGGAGCAAAACTCATATCCAGCAGTACTAAAATCTGTATTTACATATGCAACAGTGCAATTTATTTAACCATGTTGTGAAATTTGATGCATAGCCCTAACATTCCTAAAGCCATATTTTCCAGTAATAAATAAGGGTTTTCCATTTTTGGACAAAAGTATAATACTATACAGTCCTTACAGACTACTAGATATAGGGGTTCTGCTGCATTTGGACTATAGCTAACACTTCCCTTCTCTTTGTAGTCTCCATTCAGGTGTTTGAAGACATTTATCAAATCTTTCAACTCAGTCTTCTCTTCTCAGCAGCTTACAGATGTAACCTCCCCCCCACGGCATTTTACTTTAAACTTGGTGCACCCCCACACTGAGCCCAGCACATGCCCAAAAGGGGCACTGCTTTAGTTTGACCCAGTTCACCCAACATCTGTATAGATCAGGTGCTTTAGTAGGGCTTTTTTTGTCTCTTTTAATTAATAGCTGATTGAATCAGCTTTAGATAAAAGTGCCAAAAAAGCCCCGTGGAAGAACCTGATCTGTATAGATGCTGCAGAGTCAGGTCAGACTAAAGTACTGCTTCTTCCAGTACAGTATTTTTTGCTTTTTTCCCAACATCTGTCAGCAGGTCTCCTGCCTAAATAACTCTAGCTCTTTCAGCCTTTCCTCATAAGTCATGCTTCTTGAGCCTCTAATAATTTTTGTCACTCTCCATGACACACTATTATTTGATTAAAGTATATATATATGTAGGCACTTAAGCAAAAAGAAATATTCTACAAATACTATTAATAGTAGATGCCTGATAACAGAGAAGTTAAGAATGCAGCCCATAACTCTTTAAAGAGAATCACATTGGAGTTAAAAATGGGCCTGCATCACCTCTACTTAAAGACTTAATATATTATGCTCTATTCATGTAATGGAATTGTAATGTAAGTAACTATCAGGACCTAAACATACCAAGTATATGCTGAAAAATATTTTCCAAATGTAACTAAGTATTTCCCCCCTGAAATAAACCTGTTGTAATAAGCAACTGTGATAGTTTTGACTTCATAATATTAGTGCAGCTGAAACAATAAGGTGAAACAATAAGGTGACAATGGAAGCTGTGTCCCAGGTTTCACTTTTACCTTCAGTGATGCTTGCAGGTGAGGATGATGTGAAGTGGGTGAGTAAGAAGTGCATGGGTGAAGGTGAAATGATAGTAGGAGAAGTAGCATTTACAGTTCTTGTGTCTGTTTCTCCTGTTGTACAATAGGGAAAACACATTATCCACTGAATTTTATACATAGCTAAAAGTACAGGTTAAAAAAAAAAGATCTACTGACTGCTTCTTTATAAGCCAGAATTGTTGCTTACTCCAGAATGAATGAGTGGGTAACTTCTATGTTATTATTAACATTTTATTAACATTTTTTATAACAATATTAGCATAAGTCTTCAGAATCATTCAAATCAACACAGTAATATATAAAAACATAGGCTATTCAGAATAATACACTGCATGATGTACTACTGATGAACAGAGGATAGCTTTATTAACTAAGGGAGAAATTGTCACTAATTAATTGGAGAGAAAAGGCATATCGAGAGCAAATTGTCATTTTTACAAAAAATAGATTAAGCCTCAAAGCTATGATCCAGTTCTAAATATTCCTAAAGTCTCAAGTAAGTCTTCATTCAGACATTTGGATCTTCTCATTACAGAGATAGGAAACACCCACAAAGTTCATGCTTCGTTTCCTTTAAGGTTCAGGCAGATTCAATATGGGATTTTGTTTCTTCTGCTGACAATTTTGGAATAAAAAGTTGTTTTCAGATCACTCCTTACTTAATTAGGGTCAGAGCAACACTTTAAGGAAGATTCAAGTTTTTTCATTTAGAAAGTCAATAATGAGTACAGGGAGAGAACCTTTAGATGAAGAACGGTTCATCCTGAACCACTTTTGCAAAGATCTTATTGTTACACAAAGACCCATAAAATTATGGATCAAAAATGAATGAAACGAAGACAAATTCCATTGATAGATGATCCAGAAAAGGCAAACATTTCCAAGCCATAGGTGACTCATTGTAGGCACTGTTGTACATTTTTCAAAAGAGTAGCAAATACCCCAATTTCCAAAGATGTTGAGCACCCAAGTATGCTTGCTGACTTCAGGAGGACCTAAGGACTTCTCTGCACCTCTGAAAAATCAAGCTATATACCATATTTACTCAAATACAAGATGAGATTATCCCCCCCGGTCAGTATGGGGGGAAAGTTCCGTATCTTACATTCACACACAAAGAAACCTCACTAAATACACTGTCTATCTTTGAGCTGTTGCCAAAAGCAGCACGTGCTCAGTAATGGAAACCAAGTATGAAGTTGATTAAATCCAGCCAATACTAAGCATGACTATAAAATGCAAGGCCCATATTAGAAAAACATGGCAATGGGAATGTGGGTCCCCTAAAAAATGGATGGGTGTTCCATTCACAGGGAACTGGCACTGGGCCTGGAGGTACTGCAATACCAGCCTGGCGTTGGGAGGACCACAGCCAGCCTTGACACCCTCTCCTTGGGACAAAAAACGCTACATCTGATCTTAGCCAAAAGGCTGAAATGCCAATGGAAACATTTATTCTGTGCATGTGGCCCTTAAAAAATGGGTGGGTGTTTTTGCCACCCCACAGGGAACTGGCACCAAACCTGGAGATACCACACTATCAGATTGGCGCTGGGAAGGCCAGAGCCAGCCCTGACACCCCCCTATTGGTGCCAAAAAGGCTACATTTGATATACTGATGGGAACCTCTTTTTTATAATTATTAAACTCAACATTTTATTTTAAAAAATCCAAAATTTATAATACATATTTACAAATATCAAACCATTACATCATCTAACAAACCTCATAATGTATTAACTCCTCCTCATCTCTTAACAGTTTACAATAACATTATTTTGCCCCACCACTATTCCCCCTCCTACCCTACCCTCTCTCTTACCCAACTATTTCAGGCACTCCTTAGGTGAATATGTATTTCTGTTTATCTTTCCTCCACATCTTCTCACTCTTACTCTCATCTTCCTCATCATCATCCCTTTGCATGCAATATCTGACCTCAGACAGGACTAGCTATAAACCCTGCTTCGTAGTCAAATTTATTCCCTTCATGATCAGCAAGTTCCTCACTTTCCAGAGTGCTGCTTTAACACAGATCACCAATGCCCGTATCTTCCCTTCTTTCCATCCTTTCTTAACCAACCCATATATCAAACTCTCAAAATTTATCTTACCATTCACTTTTAAAATTTGTAAAAATCTCTGTGCCTTCCTCCAAACCTCTCATGCAAAGTTGAATTCCCAAAATACATGTTCCACTGATTCCTCCCCCCTGCACTTCTCCTGTGGGCATTTCTTCCCATATCCCACCTATATAGAACATCTCTTACCCTCCACACCAATCTCCATATCAGGTCTGCATATTCTGCTTTTAAATCTTTCCCTGTTACCCATGCTGATGACAATCTACCACAAGGATAGGTTAGTGCAGCCCATCTAAATAAAATATATGGTAGTGCTCATTGAGTGCAGTTCCCCTCAACTCTAACTCTTTTTTCAAGTCATGGTGAGCCACTACATTGCATATATTTCGATTTTCACTTCATTCCCACAGCTGAGATGCACATTTCTTTCCCATTTACAGTGATTCCTGTTTCTTCATGAGCCTTAAATGTCTGCCAAACATCACCAAATGGGGCCCCAAACAGTGCACCCAGAATCCTTCTGTCAGGCTTCTTTCAGCTTGTCATGTATGGTTAGTGTGGGAGATAGAAATAAATGGCTTTATCTGTCTGAGCAAGTCATGTTAAAGGGAGAATAAATACACATTGAGCACATTGAGCTGGATTGAAACACCAGGGGTTAGCCTGCCAGCCCTGGGCAGCACCCCCCTGGCTCAATGTACTGATGAGGGCATGGTGGGGGCATGTGGGTACTCCATTCTGGTCCTGGGGGCAGCAGACAGCCCTACACTGAAGCACTCTTGTGCCCCAGCCAGCCAGGTTATCATCTACACGTGTGCTGCTGCAGAGTTTACACCAGTCTAATAAGGCTGTAGACTAAGTCTAAGTACATGTAGACTTGCTACATTTACTGTGGAGTTAATTAATCTACTCCACAGGGGTGCAGTGGCAGCAATCCAGGCATGCAGACCATGTTTGGTAGCCAGAATGTGGCTCTGTCCAGCTAGGCTCTGGTTTCAGGTGGTACATGCTGCTGCCACATGCTCCATGCCACTTTTTTTCAACGCACTTGTTGTTTTATTATATTGGTACTTAAATATGGCTCCTGGCTGCAAATATGCAGTGCAGAGAACCAAATCACATATGTCAGGTGCATTTTGCAGTGCCTCAGAAGCCTTTGAGGTGCCACAAAGTGCACGTGCATGCTCATGTGGATGTGCCCTTACAGTCACAGAATTCTCCTAATATTTGCACCTCTTTCTCATTTTTACCATAAGTTTCTTTCAGAAGCTCCCCCACTCTCAACAGAAGTCCTGAAATACATATGAAAAGAACCCCTGGTGCCTTATGACATGTCCTTCAGTCTGTTAAGGCTGTCATGTTTTCAGTAAATAGGAAGCCTTCACACCTGCAATATTTCTTTATTAGCAGCTCTTTCTCTCCTTCTGCTAGTGTTTTTCTATTTACCAAGTCCATAGCATTTTCCTCATTGCTTTCACTTTTTTTCAACTAGTGCCTCACTGCTTATTATCTCTCCTTTACCTTACTCTCTTGCCATGATACTTCATAATTATGATATCTTTAACACTTTGAACATGGGCTCCTTCAACCCTTTAAAACAAAGCTCCAGGCACAACCATCAGAATTTAAATGGAATACTAAGATAGCATAATGGATACATATGCAGTTGACCAGCTGACCTGCCAGAGTCAAAACTCAGTCTCTCATTTCTGACACAGCAGTTCAACATGGGCAGACTTCTGGGGACTTGAAATAATCTGTCTGTATTAACTTGATAAGCAGAGATCCTGGTGTTCTCTGATAAAAGAAATGGAAATTATCTGGTAAAAAGAATCACAAATTCTCTAATTAAAACCCCAAAATCTGTGATTAAAATAAAAGGACCTTATATATATAGGTATCAGTTGATCATAATATTTTATTGATATATTTATAGTTTTAAAGCAATTTGGAAGCTTACCAGTGCCTCAATCACTATAATAAAATAAATTCTAAATACCTATGTATATTGGCATTTGATTTTGGGGTTTTTATGGAAAATCAGAGCTCCTGCTTCCTCCCTCATTTACCAGGACACACGTCCAGCTGTAGTAGCCCCACACCCACTTCTTTGTTGTGCCAAGCTTCCCTGATATGCCATTGTCCCTCACTCCCAAGCCACAGCTCCCAGCAGACCTGCCTATGCCCCTCATTCCCTGACAACCTCCCACTAGCTCTCTCCAAGCAGCATCTCCCCCTATGCACCAGGACACAGGTCCAGCTGCAGATGTCCCACCCCCTACTGCTTTGTGGTGTTGAACAGCCCTGATAGGCCAGTGCCCTGCCCCTGCCCATGTTATTGTCCCTCACTCCCAAACCACAGCACCCCCAGCCCTGCCAGTGCCCCACACTCTGGACCTGCAGCCCATGCCTACTTGCCACTTGCTTCCTCCCAGCAGTAGGTCCCCTGGGTGTGTGTAGGGGGTTTCTCGGTGTGTGTGGGGGGGAGTATGGGGTTTGTGGGGAGGGTGTGGTGTGCAGTCCCTACCACCATGGTGTGCAGTCCCCACCAGCAGCAGCAGCAGGCAGTGGGACCTCAGAGTGCTCTTGGCTATGGCAGACAGAGCTGCCCATGGTGCATACCTCTAGCTGAGTCCTGGGGGGGGGGGGGCCTGCATCAGCTGGCACAGAGCCAGCCCAGCCCACCGGTGCATAACTTTGGACCAGACTGGACTAACTCCATGCCAGCATGCACGGTTTGTGACACTGCAGATGGGAGCGGCACGCCATTGGGCCAGGCAGGCTCCGTGCCTTCATGTGCGGCTTGCCACTGGAGTACTAGAAGCCCTACATGGAGGCACAGAGCTGGCTGGCCCAACCCAATAGCGCGTGGGCTGGAAGCTGTAAGTCATCATGCTGGGCAGGCTCTGTGCCTCCACATGAGGCTTCCAGCACTCCAGCAAGAAGCCACCCACAGAGGCACAGAGCCTGCTCAGCCTGATGGTACAT